TATGAAGTAAAACAGACGTAGATCGAGGACGGGTCGTTTCAAACCCGTCGTCAGACATTCTGATTTAAGATCAACAGTGGTGCATTGGTCACTGGTTAGTCATCTGCTAAATTAGGTAGATGTTCAGTGATATCCTAATACCTGCATGCTGTGACTATGGCGTTATACATCCATTCTGTAACTATGGAAGCGCACTGCATAGTACCACCATGCTCAGACAGATGCAGCACCATATATAATTTAGAAGGAGTTCCATTGAACTAAATTCGTAAGATTGAAGAATGTGTCAAAATGACGTCAGACTTAACTGTTTTTTCCCGATATCATAACTCTTCTAATATATGAATGGGACATACATAGGACCTACATAAATACACACACACACACACACATACATACAAACATACATACATACATACATACATATATATATATATAATATAAAACTATTAATAATAGTAAAACAAAAGTGAATGATGATGATGATGACGATGTTGACGATGACGACAACGAGGATGATGAGTAGTGGAGGAGAGGGGTGATGATGGTGTTGATGGGGATGATAATGTTAGGGTGAATGTGAGTTTTATTTTTTTTAAATTTATTTATTGACTTTGTTAACGTACGCCTTTAGTTCGGCGGCACCTAATGGTGGTGCGTTCAACTTAAATACAATACAATGAGTCACTTAATTACTGCACACTTAATGCTAATAAAACATAATTGATACAAACTTAAACATAACTAAAATAAAACTAAGAAATTGGGTAGAGAACTTAAAATTAAAAAAAAATAAAAACAATGAAACAATACAATAAAAATACATTGTGTACACATACACAAATATATCCCTCCCTACTCAATCAACTAACCCCTTAGCCAAAATAAAACAAACAGTTTCATACAAAAAATTCAAAAATACATAGGTGCAGTGAAACAAGGTATACAATTCATACTTGAATCAGTAGTGCCCCCATCTACTCCACCCCACTACACCCCTTCTATTATACATTAAATGAAGTGAGTATGTGAGTATGACTAAGGCCTGTGACAAGGTAAATCTAAGAACATAATAAACTTATGTCTGCCTTTATTATAATAGTACAAGAAAAGGTACTACAGCCTAATCGTTAAGTATGTGGTCTTCCACATTATCACGCTACTATCTGTCTAGCCGCAGAACATCTTGAGTCTCGCCTTGGATTAGATATTGTACATTTTTATACCTGACCCCAAACCACACGCTACGCAGCTGTGCCAACGGCTTGGACAACGGGCGGAAAGACCAGAGTCGCCTGTTGCTTGAAAAGTCACGTTGTAAGAAATAAATGATAAATTTGAATATGACCCCACGTTTAGCCATAAAATAAAGAAGAAATACAATAAGGAGGAATATGAAATGCTAATCACAAAATACAATATAATGGTTTGAAATATAACGGGTTGCATTTACACAAAATCCCAAATCCCAATTCTCGGATCGGAAAGCGTATCCGGGCACTCACTGTGCCCGACGGTGGTCGGCCGACGCGATTCTATGTAGAAAAACACAACGACACGAAGCGCGCAACAGATTGTTTTAAATGGCGATCCGTTCAGACTGCAACCGACAATCTAGCGCTCACCTGCAGCGGAGTTGGAGGTCGTCGTACGGTCGTACACAACCGTCGGACGACGCAGTGAGTGCCTGGTTTAATGAGAACCAATCAGAAAATCGAATCAGTGTATACAGCTCAGGCCACAATACCAAATTTTATGCGACAATGTGCCCACATATGGGTATGATGACGTCATATTACATCCAAACTTGGGCATATCACATATTTTGTCACATAAAATTTGACAGTGTGAATAGCGCATGAGAAACGCGGTCCAAATTTCGATTCGGATCCGATGTGAATATGCAGCTAAAAACTTGTACTGTAGCTTGATAATAAGGAACCAATCATGAAGGCTCCTCGTCATCCTTGCAGTCAGTATTAAGTTTTGAATTAAAACAAGCGAGATGGAGAGTTTAACTTTATGCAATAATATTAATAGTCTTATCATGTCTTATGGATTTACGCCTAATGTAGGCTAATATGGATTGCGAATTAGAACACTATTCTTAGTCAATATTGACAGAAGGAAACGAGAAGAACGATGCGTGCTAAGTTGCAAATAATATGTCTTCATCTCAAACGCGTTGAGCATTTTAAGCTCTATAGGATGTGCGCTAAATAAAGCAATAAAATGTTATTTTAACAATATTTGGTAAAGTCGAAACCGGAGCATGTGGGCTGAGCGTTTGGATTAGATTGCCAATCGCTCTTTTCTTGGCGTTTAGGCCAGACTGTGTAATAATAATTATGTGTGTGGGATGGGAGCGCCACTCCTTCTGCACAACGAGTCTGTTTACCGTACCTTCCCAGCCACTATTGGGTAGAGTGAGACAAACGTCCATAGAACACAGGTGACTTGCAGTGAAGATTTCGAACCCATGATTTCAGGGTTGGGAGTCGGAACCACAGAATAGTAGTCATTTTTTTCGATGCTACAGGTATATCAAATAGTGAGCCCAACGCCTAAGCAATAATTTGCATGAACACAACTCCTCAAGTCTCTTAATAGCCTAGACCTGTATACATCAACTACCGTATTATGCCCACTGTTTTAATAATGCCAACAAAAAAAGTAATTTAGCTTATCGTATCCACCTCCATTTTTGCTGGAACTTTTATTTAATTTGTTATTTTTGTTTTATTTGTTAACAGGATACTAACAGTGATAATTTATTTTTATTATTGTTTACTTTGACTGATGTAGATCACTAAACTAAAACCTGACCGGCAAAAGGAAATATATATTTTGACGCGAAACTATTATTTGGTCTAATTGTGTCAGGAAATATGAAACACAGATGTTTGTAGAGAGTTGCTTTGTTTTGCCTACATAAGAGAAAATGTAGACGAAACCACAAATAAACCGCAAAAAAGTAAGTGGCCCTTTTCGTTTGGCGTTCCATAATCGCATGCAAATCAAAACCGACAATCCTAACCAAATATACTGTTATTATACGTTGTTTTTAAATCATTCTATATGTCAGAAAAATATCAACGGCCTGTTATTATAATTAAACGTACGGTATATAATATTATTGTAGGAAATAAAAAATACGTTGTAAGTCTAAATCCATAGGATTTTATTTTTAATCAGTTCAAACTAGCACAACAATGGAAGCTTCAACCAACTTAAGATGAACGTTGACAAATGCAGTATTTGTCATTCATAATGCCCAGTGGCGTACACAAAAAGCTTGCACCGTCTACAAAATATTATTTATTGTTAATTGAAGCCTGGTTTCCTTAAAATGGCTACATTGTCGCTACAGTGTTTTCAGTGAAAATCGTTGTACTTTGTAGCAGTCCCCGACGCAATCGGGAACGCTCCCCAACCAACCAACATCACCGAAAGCTGTCGGCTATAGCGTGCAGCTATTGTATGGAAAGCAAGCTTCAACTGCACCTTTCTATCAAATGTACTGGAGCAACTCAATCTATAGGACTTGTATTTTTCACAATAACATCCAGACTGAAATAATCATTTTATTTGATATAAAATACATCAATAGTAAATCTCGATCGGCCGAAGTATGCTATGCTCGCTTCGACTTGCTCTTGACCTGATGATCATTATCGATGCATCGAAATGTAATCCATTAAAAATTCATATTTTATTTGTGTACAAAACAAATATATATACATATTTCTGTATTATTACTATTACTTCAATATATAATTTTAAAATACTTGGTTATTATGAATTCCGATTATAATGTTAGATTACTTTCCTATATTATATGTCTCTATTTTGTCGAATTTTACAATCCAACGAAATAATGACTGGGTACGATCCGACTTGCCAACATTCTACAACCTTTTTTCTCAAGAAAAAGCCTGATTTGCAGAATAAGTATATAATAAAGAATTGTAAAAGTCTTATGTTTACGTATTTTTCATGTTGTCCAATTTCTTTGAGGAAACGCTAATTTTATAGCGACAAAAGTGACAATGTTTCGGTTGTGGCGTGTCTTCTGTTTCATTTCAAAGGGCCGGAGAACTTTAAATAGAAATTTTATGACGTCATGGCGTTAAAGTCTATAATTTTTATGAATGCCTTCAGAAGCAAAATAATTGTTATACCCGGCATACGTTACTTGTAAAACAATCTCATGTACATGTTATTCGGAAATTGATTTAATTAACGGCACCGGGTGTATTCTTGTTTAATCCGCTGGGTGTGACGTCACACTGAATTCAATTCTTGACTGACAGATTCTGAACACCTGGTGGCCTTAGATTGTGCCGCCCCAGAAGTAACAAACTACTATATATTCTATTTATAATATTTGACAGGGGCGGATTTTTGGAAAGTCAAAAAAAAAAAAGATCGCCCAAAACGTCTCAGGTTATTTTCGGGCGTTTAGAAAACAAAAATTTCCCGGCGGACCTCCTGGGTATTGTTGTCTCTTGATCGCCCCCTCCCATTTCGAACATCTCTGGGTCCGCCACTGTCTGGAGTTGGTTGTTAAGATGGTTGCCTTCAAGTTCCATGGCTCTAAGGTTTAGTTCCTGTAAAGGAATTTTTTCCACAACCAAAAACCAATTCCTAAGCCTTAAATGCAACTTAGCAGGGGAAGATTCAAGCCGGCAATCGGTCCCCCCAAATTCTTGAAAATTAAAAAACTGGTGAGAGAACAAAATTACATTGACGTTTTTCAAGTCTGAGAGTGCCACTTCCGACTGTGCTATTATAATCATAAAATCGTGTGCCTCAGTCCCAACCACTGTTGATTTTAATAAAAATTACAAAATAACTGAATTAAATGCAATTTTTTTTTTAGAAGTTTACTCCCATCCTCTTGTTACTCTACTTGTTGAATACAAAAGGTCAAAAACGGTTCTGGAGAAAATTTAGTGCATATCAACTACAAACTAAATCATTTATTATTTTTATTTTAGAATTGCGATGCCCAAACCTTGAGTGGAGAATGTTTGAAGGAAAGTGTTATAATTTGTACCAAGAATCACTAACATGGTATGAGGCGGAGAAGAGGTGTAAAATTTATGGAGCAGATTTAGTTCTTCTCAAGAATGAAAAACTGAACGATTTCGCAGTCAACTTGGCGGCCTCAATCTCGAGTTCAATTCGGTTCATATGGATGGGGCTAACAGATAGGGTATGTTCACAGCAAGAATAACGGTTACAACGTCATATCTTGGGTCTCGATTATATGAAACGTCGGTATATAACCAGCTAAGGTTACATAAAAGTATTATTCTTTTAGGAAACTGAGGGAGAATTCAAGTGGAATGATGGAACCGATTTAGTGTACAACAACTGGGGGAGTGTCGAACCGAATAACAGGGGGACAGACTTTCAGCCGAACGCCGATTGTGTGCTTCTTTATATCAACGGAATGACCGGGGAGTGGAAGGACAAAAGCTGCGAGGAAACGTTATTCTACATGTGTATGAAGAACGGTATGTATGGTAACAAAATCTATGAATTGCAAAAGTTAAAAAAAAAAAAAAAAAGCTAGGCTATAATTGTTTAATCCGTTACCCGTTACTTCTGGTACCAGGGGACTTCATCCTAGGTTAATATTACGTCATATCGGAAATAACTCTCTGTTCAGCTGACCACGTTTAAATTAAAATACTTATTTTATTGCCAGATTGGGATACGAAGGCTTATGTCTTTATCAATATTTTTGTGCAGTAGACACGGCAAGCCTCTGGAGACATACGATTATGTTTTCATTTACATTATTAGAGATTATATAGGCGTTTTAAGGCCTTCCGTCACCACCAAGTGAAGTAGTAAAGTACGCCAAGTTGTTGCTGCTTTGTATGATCGAGCACGTTTGCTCTAGAAGCCATAATATTAAACAGTCAGTAAAGGTCATCTTTCACCAGTGGCGTAGTCTATCTAGGAGTCTGGAAATAGGGGAATGATAGAGGGAGGGGCGAAGGTCACGTGGGAGCTCAATGATTAGGTGAGGGGGCGCAGCTCGCAAAATAACTACTTGATCGTGATTTTGGGGAGACTGATACTAGTATATTTTTCTCTTGGGGGTGTGCCCCAGTGATTTCTACTATAGGCCTAACCTAATAGTAGAGATCAGTGGTGTGCCCCCACCCGTCCACCCCTTAGATACGCGATTGTCTTTCACACAGGTAGTGATGTATCACTATCATGGGTATTTACATTTACATAAAAGTGGAGGCTGATGGGGGCACGATGGGAAAGTAAGAGGGAAGTACCTAAGACAAGGAGGCTTGCTAAAACGCACTAGGCCTGTTGTTTCCCGGACACTTAAAAGGAGGAGTGGTGGCAGGATTTCTTTCTATGGGTGAGGGTGATAGTGATCACCAAGCCTCCTCGCCCTCAGAATAAGAGTACGAAATTAAGGGAACACATGACGATATCTGGAGAGAGAATAAAAAATGCGAGGGACTATCGGGACAGATGAGTCTCTCCTCCATTGAAGCTATTATTAACGATAATAATAAATTTTGCCTTTTGTAATTTCAGCTACTTCTGGCTCAACAACCACATTTGTCTCCACACCGGTCACTGCAACACAGCCAGTAGCGGTGAGAATTTTTTTTTTTATGACGATAACACAACAGTTAGGAAATGGTCGTTATGAAACAAATTGAAAACTGTAGTTGTTACGATATAAGAAGATTAACTTTTTATTTGCATTTACACGGTAACGGATACAGTGAATTATGATGAAAGGGGAACGTCCACTAAGATCCTCGGTCCGTAACTCCGCCACTGTTACACTTCGCGAGTTCATGATGTTGGAGGGGTATGGGAGGAGGAGCTCAAAGCTGGCAGCGTTTAAAAAAAAAGACACTGCTTCATCTCTTTTCTGTGCAGTACTTGTACAAAACTGCAGTTTAGGACTTGATGCACAGTAGAGCATACGTGTTGACACAAAATGCTACAGTATACTGGGCATTGAACCAAACTTACGTACGTGTTGTAACCATTACTCATACGACCATTAATTGCTATATGTGTGATGCGGGTAATATTATCCTAAATTATACAGTCAAGTATACGTTGATCATTTATTAACTTAAAATTATGCTTATGTATTGTCATAACTGTAACGACAAATGATATATTCATGAAACATTATACTAACAATAACGATGTGATAAATATTGTATGGCTTTGGCTTATGAAATATACGTACTGTAGGCTTACGTTACAACTAGGATAGTATTGTATCATATTTGCATTACATATTATACTGATAAATGCAAAAAAGGAAAAAAATGAAATTTGTAACTACATGATTATTTTCAGACGGTATCAACGAAGGAAAATGCAGAGTTGCGGTTAGCGGATCTAACCAACAAGGCACTTAGTGGAAACTTAACAGTTGCGGAAGCAACAGATGTTGCAAAAGTAGGCTTCCTTTTCGTTTAAAATTATGTTATTTAATTAAGCCTACATAAACATACAATAAAAAGTATTGAAATATGGCAACGGTGCAGAGATAATTATAATACAGTAGTAATAATGGTAGTATATTATAAGACGCACGTTCGTCTGAAAATTCTCGTTAAGTTGGGTTTGCCTACTACAGTTGGGGGAGTGGGGCATAATCATTAGGGTCTCAACGCCTACTGGTACGCAGCCATTTTAAGCGATGAGATTGTTGCTTTATCGTTGTTTCAAATTAGGATTCATGTTACATTTATAATTAGAAAATCATAAGCGTATATAGGCGTGCACCCCCTCCCCAGCAAATTAGTTCCACTAAGTGGGTTAAAATACTAAAAATGGCCATTAAATTTCATCTGAATAAGGACTAAGTTCCGTATTCTGGGATTTACCCTAGTTCGGCATTCTCATTGTTCGTGCCTCCATCCCCCGGCCGAGACCAGGCTACATCCCTGTAAATAGTGTCTTAATATTGTCTATGCTTTTAACAAACATTCATTTTATTTTGCAGGATGCTATTGATACCATGCAGAGCGTTTTCAATTCCCCGACCTCCGATACGGTAAGTTTATTCAATTTATTACAAGGATTGTATAGCAAGCAGTTGGAAGCTGATGGTGACCACTGTGCTCTATGTGGGCTGACCCAGTGACATTTTTGTGTCTCTGGATCTATTCCATCAAACTGGTCTCCCCCTGAACAAAGATAGTGTGACGTTTAAGCCGTTGGTCATGTGTCTGCCCGTGTGCGCGTTAAGCGGTGTTTCAATAAAATCGCTACACCTCATCGGTAGCTGTCGGCGACTTTAGCGATGGCGATATTATGGCAACGCACGATGTCGGTTATTACACCAACTACTCTGACTATATTACCAGGGAGAACAGAAACCACTTGCCCAAGTCTCATGCTTCCGTTAGTTACACCTCGAAATATTCACGCAAAAAAAACGAGACATCAACACCAATACACACACGTCTTATATTACATTTATCGTCTTATGTATTTATAATTTAAATATTTACTTGCGCATCCAGGTTTAGAATTTTACAAAAACATTATAATATTTACCCTGCATCATCAATGGCATTATTCATATATAGTAAAGCTATCATTCAGAATCCTTTGGGGGACATCTAAATGGGTTTTGAATCGTTATGCGACAGAGACATTTACATCGAGAAGGATATGTGACAGAGATACATATCATTCTGTGACTGAATAATTACTACGATTTGCTCTCTAAAGACTAGAGTCTACATGGCAGCAATGAATACGAGAGGGAACAATACAAAACGAATGTAAAAGATCGAATAAGGCCACTCTCAAGTAAGTACATATTTGATCGACATAACCAATAATAGACATCATATGCCTACTAAGCCTATAATATTAATTGTATTTTCTGTTGTTTACCATCATTAGAATTGTTGGCAGGTCATTCCACCAAAAAGTACAATGGTATTAACAGAATGAATTATACACAACAAAAACATACACAAACAATGTTAATAATAATATTAAAACCAAGTCTCATTTACGAGGCTTAGGGAATTCAAGTGGTTTGGTCAAAAAAAAATCCTAACTTTGTCAGGAATCGAAAAAATTAACCCTGGAAGTCAGTATTATTAACCACCAACTTACAGAACTCCATTTTTTTTTTAATTGCTGCCTGCATCAACTTTCAAATTAATATATTGTCAAATTTATGTAGTCGTATACCATTTCAGGCACTGTATTGAACATTTAGCTTGTAGGAAATTATTAATTAGATTGGTATTAATTAGATATGTCCTTATCAATGAGCCATGGTCATGGAATCATGTGCCTGATGCAACCTATCTAATAACCCACTCCCATTCTGAAAGTCCATATTTCCATTACGACTATTCAACGTTGCGTGCGATTGGAATTTTAAATAAAAAAAATAATGACTTTAGCCGTGTAATCAGAAAAGAGCTATCGTTATGCGCTCATGGTGGCTATCGGTTTTTTTAAATGTTTGTTTGTTTGCTTTATTTTACATTTGACAGTGGTTTACCTCTAAAGAGATATGGGGAGTCCAATTGGTCTAGCGACTTTCCGGTAGTTTACAGAATAATAAATACTAAACATTTATCGGCAATGTGCGTGACACTATGATAGTGATAATGTTTTTAAACTTGGCACCTATGTGAATTTAAATGATGGGCGTTGTTGGTCTGCATATCGTATATTCGTTAAGTTGGTCTGTTGGGGAAATTGATTGATACATTATTCATCTTCTTTCTGCGTTAATAGTATAAACATACTTAATAAGCTTGCCTTTCTTGATTGACTGAAGTAGCGCGATAACGTCATAAAATTTGGTAATCAAGAGCACATATATTACGGTATTGTTTCTTGGTGGTTAACTTTGTTCAATTTATTATTGATCGATACATTTTATTCATCTCCCTTTTGCGTTTATAGTACAGTATAAACATAGGCCTACTTAAGCTTATACTTTTCTTGATTGGCTATCACGTAGCGCGTAACGACATATAATTTGGTAATCATTGTTTCTTGGTGGTTAACTTTGATTTTTCGAAGACTCTTCATGTCATTTGATGTTTTAATTCATGTGCCTGCTGCGATTATACAATGTTTACTGTCCATGGCTCCCTTGTCAATAGAATAATATCAAGAATATCAAACTAAGAGGGGGGTCAAGTAGTAATATTGGCCAACAGTGCGGTTACGTCACGCATTGGCGAATTAATAATCTACTATAGTGACTCCCATGAGTTAATTCATCCTGCCAATTCGTGAAAATTAATCATCCCGATCCATTCATGTGTAATTTGGTGTATGATGAAGCTCGTAGAGCACATCAACAACCTAAAACTTACTCGTTGATCGTTAAAACATGGGGGTATACGTGATATGAGTATCCGTAAACCAAGGTTAGGCATCTACTCAACTCGAACGATAGGCTACAGCGACGCCAATAGATATCACAAACACTCCCTGGTGGGCTTAAAAATTCAGTGACGAAATATGAATTTTGAATGATATGCCTAGATAAAAGCCCACTTCATGTTTTCACTGCTTCGAACTTGCAATTTCGTGAATCATATATTGACAGTGCTGAAGGTGAGGATGACCAATTTTGTTACATTAATTATAAGCATTAATGCATTATTTCAAGTGCACGTGTTAATCACGTGATACTTACAGCCACAAAGTACTAATTGATACAACGGAGCTGCCACTGACTAAGACAGATGTATACGAAAACTTGCGGTGATCAGCATTTTTACTACTTTTGTAAAATAATTTGTTATATCCTTGAAACATTAACATAATTATTGACATCAATTTATGAAATCAGTATTATCTTGTACAACCACAATATTTCTAATAATAACGGATGAGCAATATTATTGAATAATTCTATTATGATGTTTTATCAATTGTCAATTTTGTGCAATTTTTACTTCTCTTTCAAAATGGAATGGTAAATAATGGTGATAATGATGACGGTGATTGTATCGATGGTGATGTTGATTGCGATGGTTATGATGATTACGATGATGCTGATGACGATGACGTTATTGTTGATAATGGTGATGATAAATAAATAAAACAATAATAGTTGGCATAACACCCGAAAAAATTCAAATGTATAGTACAGACTTCATAAAAGAAAAATTTGGTGGTTAAATTATTAAAATTAAACCGCTGGTGGCAGAGTTATCGTTGATTTAATGCGTACAAACATTTTGTACAGACATTTTTGACCAAATATGCATTTTTGGCAAATTTGAATGTCAATAAATGAAAAAATAAATACATATATTAAAGACAAACACCAGAAACATCACACTTACACCTCTTTACATATTTCAATAAGAAAAATTAGACATAGTTTAATTCAAATAGGAATATCGGGCATTTGAAAATAACATTTTAAGCAAAAAGTAAAACCGCAAATGTTGGAATCATTTAAAAATTCTCTTTCAAAATGTAATCATTTAAATCTAAATTTTATAAATCTTTGAATGTATGTTTTCTCTACTATATTTTCAAAATTCAGTTTATTAATCTGCTGTAATTTTTGTTTCGTGATTTTCGATGTTTCTGTTTTATGAATAAATTTACCGTGATATATCTTCATTATGCTTGTATTATCTTCAGCATGTACATCACCATTATTAATTACATGAATATCCAGTAAATATTCAAACAAAATGCATTACAGTTGTTATTACCAGTAAGGTAAGAATAGTTACCTTGGAAACGCATCATACAATAAAAGTCTATGAATCTATATTTTAAATTTAATTTACATAAATCAACAATATAAATATTTGATTCCTAGCGGTCGATGGATTGAAATTACATCCATTTAAACATATGCACTTGAGTATTGTGAACATTCTGATACCGGTTAAGTTGGTATGTTTTGATTGAAGTACATTACTCACATCGATCGTTACTAATGGCTGAACCGTAAAATCACCCCATTATTCTACTGTCATCATATTCATATATGTAGGACTGGTGACTGTCCTTGTAAAATGCAATATGCGAGGGTTATATAATCCTAATCTGGCTTATGTCGTCCTGTATATTGTATATACAACCAGATTACAACAGTTTAATTACTATACTGGAACAGCTTCAAACGCCGGGAACCAGCGTAGATTTTTAAACCAATTTCTAAATACGCCATTTTGGAATTCATCCGAAATATGACTGTAAACACACGCATTTACAGGGTTTTTTGGATTCAAAATAGTACGTATACAGGCTGTCTCTTATACACATCTAGATGTGTATAAGAGACAGGTCTCACTTTGCCTAACAAAAAAAATTGTATTTTGACTCAACTTT